CGCCAGATATCGAGGTCCGCGTAGTCGTGTGCGTGGCTCCGGTCTCAGTTTGCGTGTGCATGCCAGAAAAAAAAAGTGAAAGAAAAAGCGAGAGTGAAGAAAAAAAAGATATATTGCCGCGAATGCTGACGTCTTTATTTTACTATTCCTCTCCTTCCCTCCGCAGTCGTCACCGTGGCAACTCAATATTGCAGGCGCTGTTCTTTGAAGGAAACGGCTTGTTGCGATCTCAGTGTGTAACTTCCGCCATCCTTCGCTCTCGGCTATAGCGGCCCGCAAACTGCACTCCGCGAGGTGGTGTAAAGACGCACGCGCGACCGCTTGCTCGTGTAACGTCCTCGAAGAGGGCACGTGACCCACTTTACTTTCCCGTGTGGTGGCACGTTGCTGCTGTAAGCTCGAGGAAGGACGCCGATTCGAATCCCTTTTGGTACTTGCCGGCATAGGTCGGCACTTTGAGAGACTACTCACTCATACTCACCCACCACAATTTTTTTTCAGCCTTCACCCTCACTCACGTTCATACTCACGTCTACTCCCACTCATAGGCCCTCACTCACGTTCATACTCACGCCTACTCACACTCATTCCTACTCACACTGATGAATACTCACTCACGTTCATACTCATGGATACTCACACTGATGAGTACTCACTCACGTTCAAATTCACGTCTACCCACACTCATGAGTACTCACTCACGTTCATACTCACTCATACTCACACTCAAAGTACTCACTCACGTTCATACTCGTTCTTACTCACACTCACAATACTCACTCACGTTCATACTCAATTCTACTCACGCTCGGAGTACTCACTCACATTCATACTCACTTATACTCACACTCAGAGTAGTCACTCACGTTCATACTCACTCCTATTCACACTCAGAATACTCATTCACGTTCATACCCGCTCCTACTCACTCTGAAAGTACTCATTCACGTCTAAACTCACTCTTACTTCACTCACGTTCTACTTACTCCTACTCATACTCATCAGTACTCACTGATACTCACACTCATCATGTTCAAATGAGTATGAATGAGTGTGAGTGAGAGTACTCATGAGTGAGCATGCCGAGCTATGCTTGCCGGATGCCACTCCAGATGATTCCACATGTTACCGTAAGAATCATACATGGCAAATATACAGAGATAGTACTGACTTTATGTGGATTCCGCGAAAGATCATATGGAATCGTTGGAGTATATTAGTTGTTTGAGTTATATTCACGTCCTGTAACCACGATGTTATTCAATAAAGTGGAATGCTGAACCAGTTGGCACAACGTAATGTGGAAATATATGACATGTGGCACCTTGAAGTGATGGTTGGTTGCGCCTGCGCGTTTTGTGTTCTCGTGCGATGAATGTTTTCTAATAAAAGTTCAGTTGTAAGTGAGCGTCTTTCCTGTCAAGTGCTTTTTCTTCTACCTTGTGCGCTCTCGTATTTCCACACGCTATTATTCAGAGACGCCGTAGCGGAGTTCCCCGTAACTCTCAACCACCCGGGGTTCTTTAACGGGATCCTGGATCTAAATACACGGACCTCTAGCATTTTCGCCTACGTCGAATGCGGCCCCCGTGCGGCCGGGATTCGATCCCGTGACCTTCTCGTATGCATGGTCTGGCACCCTAACCCCTAGACCACCGGTGATGAGGGAAATGAATAAAGAAAGATTGAAGTAGGCGTTCGCGTTTCATTTCCCCTAGTTCACCTAATAAAAAAAAAATGCCTATAAACATTACATTTGTGGGGGGGACAAGGTGTGTTCGTAAGATTGCGTTTCGCGATTCAGTAACTACCAACCACGTATACTCTTGCATAGATATAGTGCGCCAATGTCAACGATGACATTGTCTTGTGTATCCGCAACTTCTATATCGCTTTCTTTGTACAAACTCGACCCGCCACGGTGGTCTAGTGCCTATGGCACTCGACTGATGACTCGAAGGTCGCGGGGTGGAATCCCAGCCGCGGTGGCGGCACATCCAGTGGAGGTGAAATCCAATTAATTCGCGCGAAATTTCAACGGGAACGTGTTAAATTTCAAGCGCATCGAAGAACCCCATGGTGTTCCATACTATGGTGTATTAGCAGACCATAGTTGATCGACGTAGCGCGTTTAGAAACATATAGGACAAGGGAAGGGACAGAAGGAAGCGCTCCCTTCTGTCCCTTCCCTTGTCCTATATGTTTCTAAACGCGCTACGTCGATCAACTATGTCTTACCAACATGCCCAACTTTATACTTTAGCAGACCATATCCATACTATGGTGCATTAGTGAACATTGTCCATACTATGGTGTACTAGTAGACAATATCCATACTTTGACGTACTAGTGACCATACCCATACTATGAAGTACTAGTAGACAATATTCATACTATATAGTGTACTAGTACACCGTATCCTCCGTAAAGGCGTATCGTGGCTTCTAAACGTAAGACAACAGTCAGTGCTATTGTTACTATTCTATCTAGATAATCGAATGTATTTCGGCGGATCGGGTTATCGCGAAGGTTGACACCGTTAGTATCGCTACGCTCTTGGTTTGCATCAGAGGCTTGTAGCTCGCGAGGTGCTGTTATTTTCCCGGAACCTTCTACAATACATCGAAAAGAAAGAGTAATTAGGGATAGGATAGATGGAGATAATTAGGTGCCTGTCATTGCTGGGCTTAGAATGGAGCGTCGAATTAAGCCCTTAGACGTTGACTCGCGTGTCCTTATACGTACGTGAGATATCTTTCCGCCTTCTGTCGGCTATGTATTACAAGGTAATTCGACGGATGCGTGTTCTTCTATATGAAGGAAAGCGTAGCATATACAGCGGTGTATGCGGAAGAATGAGCTGAAACGAAAAAGCGGCCACAGAATAATAATAATAAAAAAGAAACCTCCAGCTGGATCAGATTTGAAAAAGGCGGGACTTTTCCTCAAGAAAGAAATAAACGCAAACACTTGATTATGTGGCCGATCTTGGTCGCGAGTTGCCGTCCAGCTCCAAAGTGTGCCTCTTACATGCGTGGGCTCCATTACACGTTGTTAACGTATGCTTGTTAATGTTTTTGCGATGATCGTCAGCGGCCGGCTCGAGCCAAGTTGAAGTTCTGTCTCGTAATGTTCTCGTGAGTTTCTACGCCAACTCGCGAGTCGCCATCCAAGCTGTTCTGGTTTGTCCACGATTCCGGTTTTCCTTTCAGTTGCGGGTCATCTGGGCTGTTGTGCACTCCGACAGAGTATATACGTGTTGTGTCGCCCTGTTCTGCGCTCTGTAGTCTGCACAAAGTTGCTTCCTGATGATGGACCAGCCACTGTGTCGTCTGCATGGTTCTGCGCATTGTCGTCTAATGAAAAAAAAAAAAAATGCCGTTTGGTAATAGACCATGCGCGCTCCGTTTTCGCTTCGATTATTCTAACCCTCTTGTATTAGCGATTCCGTGTGCTGTAAAAGCAAGCCCCGCCGCGGTGGTCTAGTGGACTCGGCTGCCAACCCGCAGGTCGCGGGATCGAATCCCGGCTGCGGCGGCTGCATTTCCGATAGAGGTGGAAATGTTGTAGGCCCGTGTGCTCAGATTTGGGTGCACGTTAACGAACCCCAGGTGGTCGAAATTTCCGGAGCCCTCCACTATACGGCGTCTCTCATAATCATATGGTGGTTTTGGGGCGTTAAACCCCACAAATCTATCTATCTATCTATCTATCTATCTATCTATCTATCTATCTATCTATCTATCTATCTATCTATCTATCTATCTATCTATCTATCTATCTATCTATCTATCTATCTATCTATAAAAACAATCGTATCTGTACAGTACGTTCGAAGACGGGACATCAGTGATTATCTACGCAACTGCGCCGTGCTGATAAAACGAACTGATTAACTCCTAAAAGCTGCCAATTAACTCTTTCAAGCTCTCTCTTGCACACATAACGACTAATCAGCCGGGAATCCTTAACCTCTACGGCCATCTAACTCATTAAGTGCAGCTACTCGCCTCCATTTTTTTTTTTGCTTGTCATGGGAAACTTTTTCCATACAATCATCTAGTCTCAATCAGGTCTTTTCGTCGTGTTCGTCGCTTTTGTCCGTAAGGCATAATTGCTTCAAATCTTGTGACGGCGACTCAGTTCGCGCAAATGTTTTGCATTTCGAGGTCTCGGTTTATCTTATCACCATCTCAAGGACGGCTTCCCAATGACCTTGTACTTTTCTTTATTGAAGGGCGCGTCTCTCCAAAAATCTCATAGAGTGGTCGTCTGATTACACCCGACCAGCTGGCGCTTGCCGATAACAGCGACGCGTAGGATTAAGCGCCCGTCTGACCAAATGCTACGTCTTTTCTCAAACGAACTGCAACGAGTGTTAGCCAAAGCGAGGCCGCGGAAGATAAGCTCGTGAGAACGCTAGTAGTTCTTATCTCTGAATGGCAAGCATTAAATGCCATCACGTGTTGTACAAGTCGTGTCTATATAGTCTAGACGCTTTCTTCAACTCAGTTTTGTGTGTGTGTGTGTGTGTGTGTGTGTGTGTGTGTGTGTGTGTGTGTGTGTGTGTGTGTGTGTGTGTGTGTGTGTGTGTGTGTGTGTGTGTGTGTGTGTGTGTGTGTGTGTGTGTGTGTGTGTGTGTGTGTGTGTGTGTGTGTGTGTGTGTGTGTGAAGGGGGGTATGCGAGGGGTCGTGGAAGGTGAGCTCGTGAGAACTTAAATTGTTTTTATCTCCGAATTTCAGCGTAAACCCCATTTCTGGTGTGTATGTATATGCGTGCGTGCGTTTTCATCCCGTGCGTCCTTGATGGAAGCCACGCGGTCGTGACGGGAATATTGTACACGTACCCGCCACATCTCGTCGCAACTTGGCCGCATTTCGAAACATTTCCGTGTCTTTTTCTCTTCCTTGCTCGCAAGTTGCAATTAGTGCCAAATTGGATGGCATGCGACTTCGGCTAACGAAGTTTGTTTTCCTTTTTTTTTTCTTTCAATTTGCAGTCAACCTCGCTGGCCAAGGGAAAGTGGACATGTCACACTTTGACATTCTCCGGGTTCTTGGAACGGGAGGTGAGTTTTTTTTTTTTTTTTGAATTATGGGCAACGCTTGAGAGGGCCGCTTAAATAACAATAAGTCGCAGTCCGAACGGCACTATTAGTCCCTAAATTGCAGTCAGCCAGATGGATATCCGCACTCAGTCGGCCTGTCACAAGCAGTCAATCGTGTAACAATCATCCATTAACAGCCAAGCAGTAGCCCAATCGCAGTGAATCAGATGTATAGTCAATGTCAGTAGGTCTGTCACAAGCAGTCGATCAGCAACATTCATTCAGTGACCGCCAGTCAGTGACAATCAGGCAGTCAGCGACAATAAAGTTCAGACTGCCGCTCAGTTACGAAGCCAAGAAGTCACAATTAATTTTTGTTTGTCGAAAGCAGTTAGCGACAGTCAGTTGCAAGCAGTCGATGAGTAACAGTTATTATAGTCAGTGACTGTCAGTCTGCAATAGTCAAGCAGTATACCAATTAATAATGGACATGACACCTCCAAGTCAGTCAGTCAGCCGGTCACAAGCAATAAAATTAATAATAACAAAAAAGGCAGAGGCAGCGTAACTGTAGTAACTTGCACTCCGTCGCCCACAGATTACGGGTCATAGTCACTTCGCGTGACATTTTTTTTTTACAACATGCAGAATCTTATTTGCGTATAGCCACCACATGTTCCGTGTGAAACATGGCTTGATAGTTAACGAGAAAATTGGGAGTACATGTGCAGTTTCTCGCGTTAACATTTGGTTTTCTCTTTGCTTCCTCGAGAACCGATGGTGCATCATCCGAGAGGCATCTAAAAAAACGACCCTTTTGAATGTGCAACGCTACTATTCAAGTGTATCGCAACTTTTGAACCAGGGAAAACCATACCGGCATTAAAAAACAGGAAGACGGATCGCGAAAAGAGGTTACTGAACCATCGAAAAAAAAAAATGGAGATTAACTCGTTGAGCAAGTCGTGTTTCATCGCACGCGGAGAAACGGGCTGTCCAGGAAGAAAAAAAAAAAGGCGACCCCCCCTGCTGTCGCCTTCGTATTTATTTCTTTTTTTAAATCACGACGACCCTGTTTTCAGAAGCAAGACGAAAAGTTCGACGAATGGGCGAACCAATTATTTGCCGAGGAGGCAGTCGCCATTCTTGGCCGTCTCTTCCGTTTATGTATCTAGCACGAGGAATGGACGTCAGGATGTGGGGGCCTTTAGCATGACAGGCATGGTCGTCTTGCACTTACAGTGCACATATGCTTACGGCATATTTGAAAGAATATACAAAAAAAAAGAAACATGCACTGCAGGGAATCGCCAACAGCTGTTCACTTCGTCCCAACTGAAAAAAAAAAAAAATTAGAAAGCCCCCGTGCCGTCCTCTTTCGTTTCTTTCTTTCCTTCCTTCTTTCTCTCTTTCTTTTCCATAGCGGCACTTTTCCACGGGCACCCTCCACTGTCCTACTTTAGCCCTTTCGCGCGGCGGAGGCAGCAGCCGCTGTTGCTGTGCGCAGCGAAACGCGTGTGGATTGAGGCACGAAGCCGAGCCGAGCCCATATTATAAGGACAGTACGAGGACGCGCCAGAAATGCCGCTTTGTAGCCGGCAAGTCGCCACCTGTCCGTTCCGGCGCTAATCGGCTGCGGCCGGACGGACCTAACGTCCTGCTCGGAATGTCATGCCGGGCATTTCCTCGCGAAGGACGGCTGAGGTGGTGTGTAGTGTTCTTCGGGGCGCCCGAAGCACCCTCTTTTTTTCTCTTTGTTGCCGCGTGGTGGAGTCACCTGTTCCCCTTGCGGGGAGGGGCAGGGAGGAGTGCCCCCACCTTCCTCCTTTTCGCTATGGATTTAATTTATGGGGCGAAACTTGGTGTATGGGTCGTCACGTAGCTATGCTCGCTTCCACCTACAAGTCAGCACTCTTGGCAGACTTCTCGGGAAGGACCATAAAACGTGAATTTCGCACAAAGTAATCATAGAGGGTGGTGTTGAGCTTATGGTGGAGCCTGCGCGCCACGACGTCGCTATAAGCGCCCCCCGTATGTCGACGGTGCCTACCCCTGGAAGCATATGCAATAACTCAGCGCTGCAGCTCGGCGCTGGCCCCCGTGCGAACACCTACGATCAAACCGCCCATACCCGCAGCCGTGCTATACCTAATTACTAATCGTAGAGCTCCTCAAAGATTATGTCGCACACCTGAAGCATCTCGGTTTCCCCGCGGTGAGCTCACCTTTCTCGCATCCTGTTGTGACGTCATCCTCCAACCTGTTTGTTTGGGGTGCGGCCCAGGAATAGCACATGAACTAAGCGACCTGAAGACCCAGCGACGCCGGTCGGTGTCGAAATAACTGTCTCGTCTACAATGTCTCGTCTACAAAACAAGCGAGCAGTGTTAGTTGGGCAAACACGTGACAGGCGAGGCAAGCGAATCGTGCAGGCCTGCTTTTTTATTTCTTTTGTTCTTTGGTGAGTGGAAACTGGTGCAGCATACGTTCACCTTTGCGTTGCGTTCACCGACGCCTTTAAAGTTACTTTCAAAACTATAATGTAACCAGGTTGCCACGAGCAGCCTGGTGAGCGATAAAACGCCGATCTCCTCTCCTCCCTTCAAAAAAAAAAAAAAAAAAAAAGATGCTGTTGGTGACGCCACTTCGAAATTTCCACACCAAACACCATGCCGTCATAGATTTTGGTGACGTCTACTAGGGCCTGCGTAGCTCCTAATCCGCAAACATGATGTAGACTTACCTCTCAGGGGACCATAGATCTGAAGATACCGAGCTCTAGAAAAAATTTTTTTCAGCCATTGTCGCCAGCATAGGGCAAATACACCTTGAAGTATATGGAGTCACCCGCGATGACTTCGGACCGAAATTTAAAAATGCTCCTTTGACGTTGATTTTCTTCTCTATTATTAATTAACATCATGGTAGTGAAAGTACCGAGGTTACGGTTGTCGCGATGTGCATTTTATTGACCCAAACCGATTCATTCTTTTACTTTGGCGTCCACTCAACACCAACAGCTAGCTTGTGCATTGATGAGGTCGTAGTTTTGCCGTTAAGTGGCGCCACCGACGCAGCTGCCTACGTCTGCGGCAGCAGTGATGTGCTAATATGCACATCACCGAGGTAAACCTCTGCCACCTTCATGGTGGCTGTGCGATCAGTCTATCTATCTATCTATCTATCTATCTATCTATCTATCTATCTATCTATCTATCTATCTATCTATCTATCTATCTATCTATATATCTATCTATCTATCTATCTATCTATCTATCTTCTATCTGTCTGTCTGTCTGTCTGTCTGTCTGTCTGTCTGTCTGTCTCGCGTTTGTAAGCGTTTTCGCTGTCTAAACAGCGAAAATGCTTATGTAATCATCCAGGCGCCAAGACGACGTTACAGAGAACCAATGTAAACAAAATGGGCGCCATCTACTGCAAGAGATGATCCATCAATTTGATCCTAACTGTAACGCATCACTAGCGCCACACATTACTACAGCTCGCGAGTGTCGGCCCCAGTTCTCTTTTTCTCTCTCTCTGTTCTGCGTATCTGGTGATAAGTACCGAGGGACCCATTATCTTTCAGTTTATCAAACCGATATACCTGCTACTCTTTAAGTTCGTATCTATCAGTAGGGACAAGGGGTGTCGCTTTACCCAACGTTGCTAGACCAGCTAGTGTAGGAACGTCGGCCTTACCTGCCTCAACTTTATGGTTTCCGTGTCAGAGACGTTTCAGGAAGAAGCAAAGGCCCACGGAAGAATTACTCAACGAAAGTGAAACCGCGTCCTTCATCCATCTCAAATCTCGTTTTTTTTTTTTTTTCTCTCCTGTATTCTTTCGCTATCTTCATAATGTCCGCATTTCTCACCTTCCGCACCACGTGTCCATTGTAGTCCGGCCGTGGCTAGCGAGAACAATCTGGCAACAATAAAGTACGCGATGTGTGAAGGAGAGAACTGGTGGGGGGGGGGGGGCGAGACGGAAACTTTCTCGCGTCGCTCTAGAAACGAAAGGGGTCGGTGAGGGGGTGACTTTAGAGTGCGAGGGAGTCCGCCACTAGGAGGGGCGTAAGTCGAGAAACGAAAGGAAAGTGTGCCGCGTCCTCTCTCGTCGAAGCAAAAAAGTACACGTAAAAGAAACACCGACGCGAAACGGGCCCCCTCGAGCAGTGCTTAGCCTACGGCACGCGCACGCACAGACACACAGACCTCACAGAAGTGTGCCAGTGGGTGAATGTCAGCGCAGGGAGCGCATGCGAGGTTGGGCAACGGCGGAGCAACTGTCGGCTGCGATGAGCAGCGCAGGCAAGGTCTCGTCGCCGCTTTGAACGTTTTTCCGCGCGCGTGTTGTAGCGTGTACGCTTGGATGACGGAGGAGAGGGGGGGAGGGGCATGGAAGGGTCTACGCGAAGGCTTCTTTCACTTACCTGCATGCATGCATTCCTAGCCTTGATGTTTCTTCCTGGGTCACTTTCCATTGCTTTATCACCTGTTCCAGCGTCGCTTTTTTACGGCGAGCCTGTCTTTTTAGTCGACCATGTGCCTTCGTCGTCGTCGTCGCCGTAATAATAGTAGTAGTTGTGGTAGTGGTGGTAGATTATTAGTAAAGAGTAGTTGTTAAATAATCATTGTTCGGGTTTAATGTCCGAAATCCACGGTATATTTATGAGAGACGCCGTAATGGAGGGCTACGGAAATTTTGACCACTCGTTGTTCCTTACTGTGCTCCCGAATTCAAGTACACGGACTTCGACCTTCTCACGTGCAACAAAATGTGTCCGGGATTCGATCCCGTGACCTTCGAGTCACCATATAAGCACTTCAACGCTAAAATACTGCAGAGGGGTTAATGGTAACCGTAGTGGTTGATGTGAAGTAGCCAAATTTAACTATCTTGTAACATAGCTTCGTAACAACTTCATTCTCCCGTAAAAACATAATTGAGCGATTACTGTTGTGATGGAAAGCTACACCTTACTCCCCCCCCCCCCCCCGCCCCCAGTAGATACGCCTAT